TGACCACCAAGAAATTGATTGCTTCAGGTACGTACTTAATTATTTACATTCAAAATTTGCGGAAATGTCAAATTTCTCTTAAATTTACTAAAAAAAATTAATCCTAACCTTGTTCTAGCAATTGAAATAATACTTCAAGCAGTTAAATTATAAGTCGGCTGAAAGATGGTTTAAAAGTGTAATTCTTTTTGGGTGCAGAAGGAAATCACAAATGATTGAACTTTTGCACATGTACGATATCGGGGAAAGGAGGATAGGTTTTATAATCAGATTACAACACATGATGTCAAAAACAGTTTACGTGTACTCACGTAACATTGGAATGTAGGTCTGGAGTGAATCAAGATTTTACAAGATGATTTCGGAAGAACCCATTACTCTTCATTTTGAAAAAAATCGACTGATTTTATTTGTCGAATTTTAATTGATTTATAGCATTGTCAGGCCCATATTTTTTTTTTAATATGCCATATAATTGGAGTAATGAAATGCTCAACAAAGATAAAAAAAACCACCCATTTCAGTAAAAGAAATATTTTTATTGGCAAATATCATTTGTCAGGGAAAATCTTGTTTAATTCCATAATAATTACACATGTAAATATACATATAAAAATATACATTTAAGATGTTCGAAACTGTGTCAAGTGTATATGTACCTAAAAAAATTTAAATGGTCGGGAAGTTTAAAATAAGTCAATTGGAATGATATTTGAAATCATCTTTGATTATTTTTTTATTTTATACGTATATGTCCTTCTTTCAAACAATGTACAACAGAAAAACAGAAATATGCTCTGTCTTCGACTTGTATTAAAACCTTGCTGTACTGAGACAGATACCTTCGTGTATTAGTTTAGGATGTGTGTCATCTTGTAGACCTGAGAACGGAAATACTACACACAAAAGCGGATTTTGCTTTATTTACATCATTCTCTCTGTCATTAACGAATAATCGTAATACTTGTATCTCTAGAATTATCACTATAACTTTGTCCTTAACTTATGATCCTAATACTTGCATCTATAATATTATCACTTTAACTCTATAGTTAATCAATGATCTTAATACTTGTATCTGTAGAATTATCACTATAACTCTGTCGTTAACCAATGATCTTAATATTGGTATCTGTAGAATTATCACTATAACTCTATAGTTAACCAATGATCTTAATACCGGTATCTGTAGAATTATCACTATAAATCTGTCGTTTACCAGTGATCTAAATACTGGTATCTGTAGAATTATCACTATAACACTGTCGTTTACCAGTGATCTAAATACTGGTATCTGTAGAATTGTCACTTTAACTCTGTCGTTTACCAATGATCTTAATACTGGTATCTGCAGAATTATCACTATACTTCTGTCGTTTACCAATGATCTAAATACTGGTATCTGTAGAATTATTACTATAACTCTGTCGTTAACTAATGATCTAAATACTGATATCCGTAGAATTATCACTATAACTCTATCGTTAACTAATGATCTTAATACTGGTATCTGTAGAATTATCAATATAACCAGTGTTCAATGATTGACAAAAACAAAATACGTGTAAAAACTTTATCGGTTAACTTAGTCACTATTATTGTTTCGAGAATACAAGATATACATTAAAGTACAATGCAACCGAAATAAATCTATAGATTTTCTCGCCTGGTTTTAATTGAATTTTAATACTTTTGTATATATCAATGTATATATATTCTGAAAGCAGGATTTGTGTAGTTTCTGAAAATGATTATAAAATATATTAAGAAATATTATATTGTTGTGTTAAAATTTTGAGCATGTTGAGCATTAAAAAAAACAATTTTAAGTATTTTAGGGGGATTCAGTGGGGTTGGGATGTAAACACCTGAAATAAGTATTTTCAAATATAACGTGCTACCCATGCACTGGTTTTGATGATGGCAAAATCGCTCAAATAGGGCACAAACTTTTACTAAAGCTAGCAAAAAACTGGAAACCAATAAAAAAAATTCTGTATATAATTTTACCGAATTATTATCTCTTTGCAACGGTGCAAGATTTATTCTGATATTTCCAGTATAAACGAAGTTATGAGTATTTTTTCACACTATACTCGTTTTTCAAGTCAGATGCGTAGAAATGCCATGTGTTTTTAAGAGAAGCTTATTCTTTGCTTTGTTCCCATACGGGGCAAAAGGGGAAACATGGCAGCTGTAGATGGCATTGTAAAACAAGTGTAACATATGTTCTTGAATTATGCAGATCACATCAGAAACCATTTATATTTTACCTAAGGGAGGGTGAGATCCTAAACTTATTCGCAATTCGTCTGTTGAGATTTTAATGAAGTGCAGCATGTACGTCTGTATGTATGAACAAACATGTATATACAACAACCCACTTCTAATTGCTAATTTCTAATTTCTAACATGACTTTAAAAATATACAGCTCTAGTAATCTAGCTCTTCTCTGTTTGCAATTTGTAAATTATAACGAGAAACATCTTATACTATCAATTGTAGTTAATGTTATTGCTAATTTTTTTAATGATTTCATTTATAAGGGGAATAAATCTGATTTATGCACCGGTGACTCAGCGTAAAATCCCAAATATAATATCAACTAGAAACGATCTCGTTGCGAGCAACGAGAGGTCCGATTCTGAACAGAAAGTGATTAAAAATACGGACACACGGGGGATCGAACCCGGGCCACCCGCGTGAAAATCCAACACGCGTTTTTGTTATTCCGAACGCACTATACAGGACGCTATTGAGGTCACTGCTCTAAATGCACTTGTAAATACTTGTATATACACAGAAAATGTCTTAGAATTATGAAAGGCGGGCCACTCATCATAATTTTGCGCCAAAAGCCACGAATAAAATTTTCGCGCTTTCCTTTTGAAATGTCTTATTAAACAGGTATGATAGCTTCAATGAAATGACAAAAGAGCGTTCTTATCGCCTAAATTTCTAGGTGTAGAAAGTAAATTAAACACATCACATATCGTTTCTGGGCATGTGACACTAAAGCAGTGAAAAGGCTATGAATAATTCACTTTAAAAAATTTTCTGTTTTTCACGAAAATTGACTATTCCGAATACTTACACTTTCATGAAAATGTTGAAATGTTTTACTGAAAAAATGCCTCTCTCTACGACGGTCAAGGATCAAGATACCATTTATATACAATAACTTGGATTGAGAAAAAACATGTTTATATAAAGTCAATTGAACGATCTTTTAAAAAATACATGTAGTTATCTTTAAAAAAAATCCTATTGTTGTCTTTTCTTTACTTAATATGACACAAGTGTGCACTGGAAAACAGTGGTCACAATTTATACTTACAATACACTAGTATATATTGTTTCTTGAAAAACCATTGCTTTTAACCATGATTTAAAATTTGTTTTTCCTTGGTGTAATTAAAAAAGGGGTTTAAGAAGACAATGGATTAAGACTTTAGTTTGACAAGAATTACAACGTAACAACGACGTGACAATCCAAGTACTCCTTCACATTTTTTATCCTTATGCTGCTTTCGTTCAACCAAACGCTTGGCTGCCTCCGTAAACCCCTATTCGCTAAATGGCGGATTCCACGGAGACATCCGCCATTTTGGACCCGCTTCAGATTTTCAAATGTTTATATCTCGAGTTTGGATTCATAAATTTACAAACAAATTATATATTTAGCCTAATTAAAAGAGTGTCTATTAACCTTCTTAAAATTTAATTTTGCAAAAAAAGTTAGAAAATTTGACTTTTTAAATTTGCACCTGGTAACGACCGGAAGTAGAGACGACGAACAAATGATCGCGTCCTGGATTGTACTTATCATGATCTATAATCCCTGAAAGTTTCACAGTGATACCTTTTGCCGTTCTTTCATGAAAAAGGTGGTGTGTTTAGAAAAAAAATTAACCCTGGACAAAGTGTCATTTCAAAATCAGAAAAGTGTCCGTAACTTGGCACCAGATATATAATTTCCAAAAAATCTCTCGGATAAAATAACTTCAGATAATAACACATTATTCCTGCAAATTTCCTTAAAGTACGCCCAGTAGTTTTTGAGAAATCGCGTGCACAAAACATTTTAATAGATGTACGGAAAAATAATAATAAGAAGAAACAGTAGAATCACTATAAGGTCTTCCGTGAAGACGGAAGAAATTTTCAAAAAAACATTAATTAAATCCAAGCTCCAGGTTCTGCATTATAATTTTATTTTGGTTGGAGTACTGTAAACGTGGTTATATCGACGAGTTGAAAAATTGACGATTTTTTCTTTGGAGAATTGACGAGTGTTAATTATTGACGATCGAAATATTTATTCAAGAGTTGTAAATCTATGAATTCGCAGGGATACAAATGCATGCAGCGTCGGAATCAATAAAAATTATTTTTTGTACAGAATATGTGTAAGATTATACAAACTATTAATTAAATAAATATTCTTATTGTATTTCGTTTTCATTATAGGCGGTCAATTGCCTGAGGTGACAAACTAGGTCAAGCAGGGTGTGATAATGACGCTAAATTACGCTTGTAGTATTTGATACACTAGTTAAGATTCCATGGTTTTAAAAAATGTGATTATATATCATTATGTTGTCATAACTAATTACAAAAGAAATTAACAGTAACTTTGATGTAGTTTTAATAGGGGAAAGCCGAGAAAATTAAGGGGTAATGTTGTACAATGGTCAATGACTGTTGCCACGCTATATTTATATGATGTGAAGTTTGACGAGTGTAAATTTTGACGAGAAAAGAAAAAAATGTCAATATAGTCAAAAGTAGCACATCGTCAAAATGTCCACGTTTACAATAGTTTTATTTTCAAAGTTAACAGATAAGGTTTATTTTTTTGTAAATTATTAATTGGGTAATAAAGATCACAGAGCATCAGATACATGTATTTGTATTACGATCATCTATCAAGGATAAAACAAGTGATGTAAATAAGGCAAACTCCGTATCCTGGTGCAATCACCGTGTAAAACAACCTTGAGGTATGTTGGAATTTGTATTCATTAGTACTGCGGAGTTTGTCACAAGTCGTATACATAGCATACCGGTTTGTAAGATGAATCAGTTATTATGGGCGTTGGTTTTCTGTGCTTTGTTATTTGATTATGTGATTGAAGCCTGTGACCCTTGTTCTTGTGAATGGGATAGTGATTGCTCTGGACAACGGGCTAACTGCAAAAATAAAGCATTAACAGAAGTACCTTCCACACTCCCCAGCAACACGTGTGCATTGTAAGTAATTAGACACATAACTTATCTCTAATTTGATGTTAATCATAAAAGAGGAATCTGTTATGTTTTACCTTCAGATTTTCATTTAGGGACGATAAGCTGTTTTGATGTCACGTGGTCTCGCATGTAAAAAAGAAGATATAAAATAAAGAAAAAAAAAGCTTTCAAAAGTTCATTCATTTCGTTTTAGTCCTTTACCAACCTGACTTCAAGGATTTTGAAATACTAATTAATGAAATATAAAACCTTTTCTTCTAGATCCATTGCTTGTCTTCTAAACCATCGACATGTATTTATCATATCGTGAACAAAGTTAGATTCACTCTAAAGCTGAAATGTTTCGGTATTCATGTCTCAAAACATCGATCGTCAGTTCTCAGCCACTGTAATCAACATAATCTCTTCCTGATATAGAGCTTGATAAATTTTTTTCATTGGATAATTATCCAATATGTAGTATACAAAAGTACATGATTATGTGTATTAAGTCTTTGCTGCTCATCGTGATCGAATTCTGGTTTTAAATTTGCGTTCTCCTTATCTGAATGATAAAATGAAAAAAAAAGTGGGCATGTAGGTATGGTCTTAATTATGTGAAACAGTTAAAAATTAAATTTAGAATATTTAGCAAAACTATTTTAAAGGAAGCAATATTTTGAATTAAGATTTATTATTCAATCTTAATCGTGTCTTTTTTTTTTCTTATCGTGATTCAATTCGGATACCTTAAAAATACGTCTTAATAATTATTATCAATTTATAAAATAAATGATACTACAAATAAATTCAAAATGATTTTTATTTTTCTAATTAGATTTAGAAAACAAATATTCTTCAAGTGATAAAAAATGATGATCCGATAGTCGAATCAAAGTTTAAATAAATGCCGTATAACACATTCTATAATGCTTATACGTGTATTTTTCAAGGAAATATTTAGTTTTAAATAATAAGACAGAATCTATATTATTTATACCTTTTACGGAAGAACCCTTATATTATAAATTTCGTTTTTTAATTGTCAAAACCGCAGATAATTATTTTAGCTTTCGAAAGGCATAATTTTAAATTATTTTTAAATGAGTAGAATAAATCATTTATACATGCCTCCTGTAGATGAAACTAAATATTATAGATTTTTAGCTTTTTAAATGAAACTGTTTCAAAATCATTCTACTAATTAAGTTTCTAGATAGAGAATTTACATCGATCTCAAATCTCTGACACAGGAATAGGTGACCGTCGCTGATAATTGTCATCATCCCGAAAGGAGATGTGTAATTAATCAGCACAACTAACATAGAATATACAAAAGGTATACAAGATATATACACATCACAGCTCCTTGATACAACATATGAACCGATTGTTCCATCAATTTCTACAAATTGATTGATTTTAAATCCACTGCAACCAACAAGAAGTCGTGGCGTAATTGATAAAGTCAGCAAATCAAATCAAGCAGGAGATCCGGGTACGATTCTGGTCTGGTGCAAAATTTTGTTTTCTTGCATTAATTTTTTCTCCATTTTTGTTCGGAATTAGATAACTTTAATGTTATTATACCAGGAAAAAGTGAAATAAAATATTTAAGTTAAAAAATAAGCCGATTATTCAGTAAAGATATGCAACTTAATGATAACTGAAAGGTCTCTGAAATGTATGTGCCATTCAGTCGACTGAATGATCACGGAAAGGTCATGGGAAAGGGTCTTTTCAGTGACCTTTCAGTGATCATTCAGTGGGCATTCGGTTATCATTCAGTCGACTGAATGGTGGATTTTCATCCTGTGATTGATTCATGATCTAATTGTAAACCCTTTCGAAGATTAAACACCGCTTTAAGCGTGGTTTAATATTGGCTTGTAGATCCTTAATGATGGCTCAATGACTGTCTTTAAGTCACCATTAAGCACTTTAAGCTACCTTTAACTGATACATATTCCAACATTTAGTAACCTTTTAGCCATTTCAATGTTGCTTAATTGCAGGTTAATGGTGGCCTCGCAGTAGCTTATAGCCGCTTCATTATGGCTTCTAGACAACCATTAAGTCACCATTTAGCCAAACTCATAGGTGCTTAATGTCCGATCTCCATTAAGCTACTTTTAAGCCACCATTAAATCACCATTTAGTCATCACTATGCAGTAAATAAAACTGTTTAATGGGTAAAGAATGTGTTAAAGCATAATGTTTTTTACTCAGATATCATTGAGTCTTAACACTTCGGACGTGTCTTTCTTTTGGGGGAGGGGGGGGGGGCTTTTCAGCTTTGATTATCAACTTTCGCAAAAACAAATTTCCCAGACAGCGAATTTCATTATTACTGATCACAAGTAGCCTTTCACAAAATATTGCCTACAAAATAGAATCCTTTCTCTGATAAATTCCATGCGTAACCGCCCTTCTAGCTGATTTACACATCAAATCGTGACGAACAGTTGGTCCCTTCAACCATTAATGGATATCTGATGTTTCTACGGTTTAAGATGCGTTTTGCGACGAGTCCGGAAATTTTATTCTTTTTCACACATGGCAATATCTTCCTACGGGGATCAGTCTTATTGTACACAATTAAATCGTTTTTAAGAATATTTTCAATATGAGTACTCATTTTTTTTTGATTATTTGTTAAGTACAAAAAAAAGTCGTGAGCAGCCCAATAAAAGATTAACCTCACATTGCAAATATACGGAGTAAACGAGATAAGACATTTTCACGTGATAATCTGTTTTTTTTTTTTTTTTGTTAAGGAAAAATTGCATATTTATTTTGCATTAAATGGACTGGTTCTTGACATTTCTATTTATTTTTAGACAACTGCTCGAAAACAATTTTCCTACAATAACGAAAAGCATATTTAATTACTTGATAAGCATAGATTTTTGCAAGTTTTTATGAGTTCCTTACCATATAAGTTTTGGGAGTATTAATTTATTATCAATAATAACCTGTGTTTGAATACGCAAGTTTCGAGATTATCTCCTTTGGTGCGCTCTGTTGGTAACGAGGGGAGTTTCGATGCCGCGTAAACAGACAGGAGGAAAAGATTTTATAAATTGGATACATTGCATCATCGATATACTGGTTTATCATAACTGCATGATTGTCAGGATGCACTATACAACTCGGGAATAATCAAATTAATGTAAAGGCGTCATTTTTTGATGCCAAAAAATTGTAACAAAAAACAAGAAAATGTCAGTAGATGTGAATCTTTTCAGACGAGATAAGAGATATGGACCTCTAATAAATACGGTACACATGCATCTGATCATTGCACGTTGGCAAACTAAATGACACATGGTTCTTTTCCATATTGTAACTTTAAAAAAACCCACTAACTTTTAAGACAATGTTTATTCAATCAAGAAAATCGGTTACTTTTTATAAAGACTATGACGTTTCATTTGTTTTCAAGTAACCTATAATTTAAAGTAGATTTTTAAATATGCATAGTTGATAAATTCATCAAATGCATCACTGCTTAACATAAATATCTTTCTATAACATTTAATAAATTTTAAAAGCCCTAAATATAGTCAATTTATTTATGCACGTTTGTATACAGAAACAAACTGTCCCACCTCAATGCTAGAAATGATTTTTTTGTGCCTCTATCGTAGGACAGTTACAATCTCGAAACTCGCGTATTATTTAATAATGTCAAGAACGATAGAAGCATCAAATGGATTTTTTGTTACATAAATGTTTATCTGAATAAGGAACAGTGGGATACATGTAACGCACTTAATTGATATGAAAAATGTGACGAGTTCATCTTTGACCAAAGAAAGAATTCAAAGGAATAATCAGGTTAATATAGGAACGTAGTTCAGATTGCAGAATATAAAAATTGAGGTTATACAAGTTCATGTTCAATAAACCTGTGTTTCTATTGTGAGGTTAGTTAGAATTATCAACAATTACTTACACTTGATTTTACTGTTCAAAATATCTTTCAGAGAACTAGACAACAACAATATAACTTCAATTGGAGACAATGTGTTTAAGAATTTGACAAAATTGGAGGAATTGTAAGTTTATTATTTTGAAACATACATGTACATTTGTAAAGGAGTGTCATTCCTTAAATGTATATTATCACGTGTATTGATTCATTCATTTATTTGACAAGATTAGAGAGACTGTAAATTTTATATTATACAAACATTTGGGATATTAATTTTCCAAACTATAAAATTCCCTGCACCCATAGTTTAATGACTCTTCGCAGCATATAAAGCGTTTACTGGTCCAACTTAGTATATATACTGTGTAAAGTCAATGTTTGGCATCATGAAGACAGAAGGAATTATCCTCGTCATATCTACTCTTATCAATTTACCTAACCTTAGCCGAAGGCTCAAACGAGCTTTTCTGATCACATTATGTCCGTCGTCCGTCCTTCTGTCTGTCTAGCTGTTCGTCCGTCTGTAGACTTTTCACAATTTTGACTTCTTCACAAGAACTACTGGGTGAATTTTAACCAAGCTTGACACAAAGCATCCTTGAGTAAAATTAAAATTGTTAAATAAAGGGCCCAGTCCTTTCACAAGGGGAGATAATTAAGAAAAGACAAAAATAGGGTTGGGTCATTAAAATCCTCATATCAAGAACCACTAATCAGAAAAGCTGAAACCTATTTGGAAACATTCTGAAGTAGTGTAGATTCCAAATTGTTCAAATCGTGACCCCTGGGGGTTGGGCGGGGTCACAATCGGGATTCAAAGCTTTACATTGAAATATGTGGAGGAAAATTTCAAAATCTTCTTCTCAAGAACTACTGGGTCAGATTAGCTTAAACTTATGTGATAGCATCCTTGGGTAGTATAGATTCTAAAGTGTTCATATCATAACCCCTGGGGGTAGGGCGTATAATGTTGCTAGTAAGAACAACACATGATTTCGCTTTGGATGCAAATCTATTACTAATTCATACATAGCTAAACAAAGATACAAAATAGCAGAGTTAATATGATATCCTGGGAAAGTATAAACATCTGACCAGTGAGGTGATGGAGTTAAAGATTAAAGCAATTAATGTCTAAAGCATTCAGAGTTCAGCATCAGCAAATATAAACAAACTGCTCGAAATTCTGTTTATCATAAACGTTTGCACTTAAACATTACATCCCTCCTTTTGTTTGAAATAGAATTAAATCCCAAATGAATTAAAATAGGAATCAAAATAAAGATAAAGATAAACAGACACAACACTTATTGTCTAATTCTAAGAAGATATAAACAGTTGCGGCTAGTATTTCCATTAATACACTGTTCTGATCACTAATGCACTAAATTCACGATACACACGCGTAAAGATATATCATAGTCTACATTTCTTCAATAAGTCTCTAAGGTGCGCGGATTTCTCTCTAAGGACGGCTCGGTAACTCACTCGTGGAGTTATCTGTCTTCACTTGTATTTCGTCAACTTCGAGTTCCTCATCCTGATCTCCCTTATCTTCCAACTTTTTGAAGTGCGACGCGTTTCTTGTAATTGTCTTCTCATCATTCCCGGCGGTGACCATGGTGCCCTTACCCAGCAGGCATTTCAACGTTGATTAAACGTTGCGTAATATTTATATAATCCACGTTGACAAACACTTCAACGTTGAATCAACGTTGAATTTTGGTTGCATTTGAAAGTTGAGGCAACGTTGAAACATAACGTTGTTTCAAAACTATTAGTAAAAGAAATAAAGATGTGAAAGAAATTTTTTCAATGTACGTAACACGTTGAATAAACGTTGAAAATAGGTTGAATTTTTGGTTGATTTATGGTTGGATTTTGGTTGCAAATGAAAGTTGATGCAACGTTGAAGCTTCAACGTTGTTTCAACGTCAAATATCAACATTGAACAAAAGTTAACATTGGTTGTAATTAGGTTGATATTTGGTTGAAATTTTTAGGTTGTACAAAAGTTGATATTTGGCTGAAATCACGTTGAATTCAAATTACGTTTTACTTTATAAACAATTACATTTCAAATTCTAATGATTGTTTTTATTCAAGTTGCGTAATATTTATATAAGTTATAATCCAGTATCACGATTGTGAGAGAATTCATTTTAGTTTGAATTTTTCTTTTATATATTTTAAAGACGAACACACACATCAAAAGTTGAAAATATGTATAACATTTTGCAGCTATATGAGTCTAATTTTCGGAATAAATAATTATTTTTATTAAATCTAAAGTAATATGGAATTACAGTGAGATGTTGGATAAAGATGTCATTATTTATTAAAAGCTTATATTTAACATATTTTATAAATATGTATGCTATTAAAAAAAAAGAAAAAAATGAATTCACAATTTATTAAATTTTACAATGGTACTAGCTGAACTGGCACAACTCTTTTCATTTATTATTATAATTATATATATGATATTTTCAAACAATGCATACAGCTGTGTGTATCTTGCGAAAATCGCATATATAAAGAGTTAAAGAAACCTTTATATTTTGACCTTAAAAACTAAAGTGCTCAATACTCATTACCCGTTGTTTTCCTAACTTTCCTAAAGTTGAAAACATGTTGAATCTTCAACGTTGTTTCAACATTGAAATACCAATAAACTTCAAACGTTGAGAATTTGTTGCAGCTTTAACGTTGTTTCAACGTTGTTTCAACGTTGAAACCAACATTGAAAATATGTTGCAGCTTCAACGTTGTTTCAACGTTGAAATCTCAACTTTGAAACAACGTTGAAATACGTTGATTAACGTTGCAACCTATATTCCACCTCTTTTCAACGATGAAACAACGTTGCGTGCCTGCTGGGTTAGTCTTCAAAATTTCAAGTGGTTTTGGTTCATACAGGGTTGACAGTTTATTTGATTTTGGTTGTTTTACCAAAACGTTGTCTCCTACTTCTAAATCTATTTCCTTTGCCCGAGAATAGTGATCAGCATGTTGTTTCATTTTTAATTTAGCTTTAATGTCATTTTCTTTCATTTCCGTGTGGATTTCGTATTTCCCTATCGTGCGAGATCGTGCGTTTAAAATCGGGTAAATTTCGTTTTGTAAGTTTTTATCGGAATTGTATTTGTAAAAATATGCATTTCCCTTGTTTGTTTTTCTTAATTTATTAATTTAAATCCAAATAAAATGAAATGAAAAATGCAGAACGAACTAATTATCGCCCGTAAACAAGCAATATAGTAAGTCGTACAATATTAAGTTCTCGTCAAATAGCGCGATCAATATTGTGATAAACCGTACTTAGATCTCTAACGCCTTTTTGAAAAATCTGATTTTAATTATTATTTACTTCTTATTGTGGTCAAGAAAATCTTGAAATCAATTTATTGAAAATGAATATTTTTTTTTACAAAGAAAAAAAAACATTTCTCAATGCTTACATAACAAATTAGTCGACAAATTTACATGAACACGGCATGATTTTCGGAAGTTTCGATTATCTGTGTTTATCTCTTGAGCTTATTTGTAATTATTTAATTTTAAATTTCTGCAAACAAAAAAGGTGAATAATTGGCAAGTTTATCAGACATTGAATCAATAGAAACATAAGGATAAAATTTGATTTATAATATAAGACATTCCATGCTGCCATATTTGTTCAATCGTATCCCCCTTTCTGCATATCATGATATCCAATTCAATCAAATTATACGACCCACATACATGTACATTGTCTAATAGAACGAACAAAATCCTTTTTCTTTGATCATAGAATTACCTTAGAAATAATTATTTTTAATTTAAAATATTAAGTCTTGTATATATTTAGTTACTGAAATATCAATTTCCGTTCTTTTTTCTTCAAAGTCTATGAATAATATTGATTATTCTTTGAAATCTTAAATAAGTATTAAGAAGTATTTCGTTTTGAAAATATTGATTCCTAAATATTTTGAACTATTTTGAGTGAAGAAACGTGCGTTTGCGTTAACTATCGTGTAAGATCGTGTAACGTGTAGAATCGTGAACGTGAAAGATCGTTCGTGTAACAGGTTTAATCGTGCGTTAATCGTGCGGAATTGTTCGTGTAACGTGATCGTACGTGTAAGTTGTCAACAATAACGTTCCAGCCACTGTAGCAACCATAAGATAATCTCCCGAGGGAAATGACCCACAAAAATCCATTGAAAATTCCGTCCATGGTCCACTTGGTAAAGGTGACATCTTCAACGGCTCGAGATGTTTTGTTTCTGTCGTAACTTGGCAAGGTAAACAGTTCTTTAGTGTCGACTCAACTTGTTTATCAATGCCCGGAAACCAAACTTTTTCCCTTAGCAACGACTTCGTTTTTACGATACCTTGATGTCCTTCGTGTGCTAAACTTATAACGTGTTTTCTGAGTGAGTGTGGAACAAACAGTTTGTCCTTTCGGAGAACTATCCCGGTATCCGAAAGAGTCAATTCATCCTTCAGTTTATATACAGATTGCCAGTCTGGTCTTGTTGATTTCTTGAAAACAGTCCATGATCCACTCCTCACTGCATCTCGAATATCTCGTATCAGTACATCGTTGTCAGAAGCTTTCTGAATTTCATCCAGAGTCATTGATTTCGGGATGTTTGTCTGGACTACAAAATGGATGCAATTTTCAACAGAGAATGATTTATCATTTTCTTGACGAATTGGGTGACGTGAGATATACTCACTTGGGTTGAACTTTCCAGGTTTGTACTTAATGTGGAAATCATACAGCTGTAGTTTTCCATGCCCATCTCTCAATTCTGGCTGGTGGTTTTGAAGTAGGGTTTCCAAATATCAATTCCAGTGGCTTATGATCTGTCACAAGGTCAGATGTGTTTCCAAGCAGATAAAGGTGAAAATGTTCGCAACTCCAGACAATTGCAAGGCTTTAACGTTCCGTCTGAGAGTACCGTTGTTCCACTGGAGAAAGCGTTTTACTTCCATAGGAAATAACTTTTTGGTCACCATTTCCATCAATTTGAGTAAGAATAGCTCCTAGTCCGACGGGACTTGCGTCGACAATGACTTCTGTGCTCCTTGAAGGGTCAAAATAGGACATAACTGCACTACTAGTCAATGCGTCCTTGATATTCTGTATTGCCTGTTCATGCTTCTTTTCCCATGTTCATCGTTGATTCTTTTTGGTCAGTTCACGTGGAGGTTGTGATAGTGTGGTGAAATCCTTGATGAATCGTGCGCAGTAATTAGCCATGCGAAGGAAACTGCGCATTTCAGATGCATTTTTGGGAATTTCTGCATGTTTGATTGCCTCAACTTTCTTGGGGTCAGCTGATTTCCATTTTCAGAGAAAATAAATCAAAGAATTCAAGCTTTCTTTTGTTAAACTCACACTTATCTTTGTTGAGCGTTAGATTGCGTTCCCGCAGTCGAGTTAAGAGTAACTGTAACGAATTGTCGTGTTCCTGCTGGGAATTGCCATACACAATAATATCATCACTTATATTGCGGGTTCCAGGTATTCCTTAAATGGTTTGTTGGATGACCGCCTGGAAAACTTCAGCTGCCGAATTTATTCCAAAAATAAACCTTTTGTAGCGAAACAGTCCAATATGTGATGAAAATGTTGTGATATATCTCGATTCTGGTGCTAACTCAAGTTGGTGATAGCCTTTGTTTAGGTCCAGTTTAGAGAATATTTTAGCTCCATTCAAATCAGTGACAAGTTCATCGATTGTAGGCATGACATGGCGTTCTCTCAGTATGGCTTTGTTAGCTCTTCTCATGTCAATACAAACTCTCACTTGGTCAGGATTTTTAGGCTTTGGAGCTGCTAAAATTGGTGACACCCACGGAGTTGGTCCATCAACTTTTTCTATGATGTCCATTTCTTCGAGTTTCTTCAGCTCTTGTTCTAATTTCTTTCGTCGGTGAAACGGAAACGCGATGTGGTTGCGCAATAGGCTTCACTGTTTCGTCAATGTGAAGTTTCACTTGAAAATCTTTCAGCTTTCCTATCCCCTCAAATCGATCAGCAAATCTCGTTAGTATACTGGGTTGGTCAGTATTTTCATTTTGGTCTACGGTATTTATTGTAATCGAAATGAGTCCAAGCTTTTGTGCGTCAGCGCAGCTAAGTAAAACATCCACTTGCACTCTTCACCACAAGAATTTCAGTGTCGATAATCTCGAGTTTAGATTCTATTTCAGCTCAAAATTTACCTCTTATTGGTAACGCCGCTCTCGTTCCGTAAGCACGAAATTTAGCATTTGATTTTGACAATTTAATTAGTTTCTTGCGACTTACTCTTTCAAACGTCGACTCATCCATGACAGTAACACTTGGTCCGGAATCCACCAGCATGTCAACTTTAATCCCATTTATTTTCACATTTGCGATAGGCAAAGATTTTGTTGCACATATTTGTAATCCAAAAGCATATTCTTCATCACTACTGTCATTATCCAAATTGTTGACACCAGGTTTCTTTGATTTGGGTGTGCGGTTGAAATTTCTTGTATCCTGTTTCTGGCCAGACCTACACTGCTTTGCAAAATGTCCAATTTTCTTGCATTTGTTACATGCTTTGTCCTTTGCTGGGCACGGTCTAACTTTATGTGGCAATTCCTTTCCACAATTGCCTTTGTTTCCTTTGTTTAGACGAACTCACTTTCCTGTTTGTAGCATTTAGATGTACGTCTTGACTCTTATGGTCTTCCATACAGGAGGCTTGGAGTTGTGAGACTTCCATAGCTCTCGCTGAATCTAGGATTTGTTGGATCGTAAGATTAAAGCAATTAATGTCTAAAGCATTCAGAGTTCAGCATTAGCAAATATAAACAAACTGCTCGAAATTCTGTTTATCACAAACGTTTGCACTTAAACATTACAGGGCGGGGCCATAATAGGGAATCAAAATTTACATAGAAATATATAGGACAAAACTTTAAAAATCTTCTTCGCAAGAACCACTCTGCCAGATAAGCTTACACTTATGTGAAAGCATCCTGGTGTAGTGTAAATTCTAAATTGTTCAAATCATGACCCCCGGGGGTAGGGTGGGACCAAATAAGGGAATCAAAATTTTACATAGAAATATATAGAAAAAAAAACTTTAAAAATTTGAGGGGGCCGACTTTAGTTTTCATTGAATCATAGAAAAATGATGCGTATTTACTGTTTTAAAGTAACTTATCTCACTTGATTAATAACATTTCAAAAACTTTCGAAATTACAGGGTTAAAAAGGTAGTTACAATTTCATATAACTGAATTTGTATCCGATTTTGCAACTGCTAGGTAGCTTGGCGTCGTTATAGATTGGTTTTGACGTTATGATTAACCGAAGCTCTGAAAGAAAGGGGTAATAAAATTTTATTAAATAAAAAGAAATAAACATATGCTCTTGAAATTTAAACATAGACATTTTAGAATACCTCCATAACTGTTATCATTTTTTTTTATAATACATTTGTACACGTCTTAATTGGTGGTACTCTATAAAAACAGGAAAATTCCTTTTTTGGGTTTTTTGATATGTCCCCTCTGGCAAATAGACGGTAGAATTTTGAGTTTATTACACTTAACGTACAATATAGCATTTCTCATCATATATTATAGTTTGAATCAAAACGCTATTGTAGTATTTGTATAATTTGCTTGAAAGTGCTAAAAATTGGCACTTACCTTTATAATCCTATAGTAAATGTACCTATAATTTGAGATAGTCCCTTACAAATATCTGGACGGTAGATTTCGCATGAACTTTGCATGTACACTAACGTTAATGTAAGTTATCTATGGTAAAAAAATGAAGAGTTTCGCTATTGTAGTTTTCACGCAATGAAACCTCAGTCGCCCCCCGTAAATTTGTTCACATCATGACCCCAGATGCTAAGGTGGGGCCACAATGGCCGATCAAAGTTTTACATACGAATTTATCGGAAAAATCTTTTTAAAATCTTCTTCATAAAAACCACTGGGTCAGAAAATCTGAAACTTTTATGAAAGCATCTTAAGCTAGTGTAGATTCTAAATTGTTCAAATCATGACCCCCGGGGGTAGGGTGGGACCAAATAAGGGAATCAAAATTTTACATAGAAATATATCGGAAAGACTGATTTTTTTTAAGGACCACTTCAGGTAAGATGAAAATCATGTGAAATCATGCTCAGATAGTAATGATTCAGGTTTGTTTAAACTATGTGCCCCGGGGGTAGGGCGGGGCCACCATGGCCGAACGAAGTTTTAAATAGGAATAAACCTTAAAAAATCTTCTTCTCCAAAACTACTAGGCCAGAAAAGCTGAAACTTATGAAATCATCTTTGGGTAGTGTAGATTTTAAATTGTTAAATCATGACCCCCAGGGGTATGGCGGGCCACAAATGGAACCAAAGTTTTACATTATGATATAAAGATTTTTTTTAAAAAAAATCTTGTTCTGAGGAACTCTTTGGCTAGAAATCTAAAACGTTTTGTAAAAACATGATACATCCTTGGGAAGTGTAAATTCTAAATTGTTTAAATCATGAAACCCGGGTGTAGGGCGGGCGACAATTTGGAATCCAAATTTTTACACTGTACTATATATGAAATATGTGACGAGTACGTTTACACTGTGCAGTCTAAGGATTCAAAAGACTAAGAAAGTAAATGCACGATATGTAATTCAGATGACCGAATGAATAAGTTGAGGTTATACATATTAAAATTTCATATATCTGTGTTGGCATCGTGAGACTGGTGAGAGTTATGAACATTTACCTACACTTGACCTTCACTCTCTACAATATATTTCAGGAAACTAACCGACAACAGGATAACCACAATCGAAGATAATGCATTCAGTGGTTTGACAAAACTACATACATTGTAAGTTCGTTATTTAAATTATTTTTGGAGGAAATCAATAGTCCAAACTATAGTTTTCCTTGCATTCATAATTCAATGACTCTTCGCAATTTATAAAGCGCTATCTGTCCCTATCCAGTGTATGTAACGTGCAAATTTTATGTTTTGGCCTTGTAAAGCTAGTAAGAATTATCCACGTGATAATTTATTCTTATCTAATTTTTGTAAGTACAATTTAATTTGCAAAAAAAATTCCTTTTGGCATCAACTCTTCATTTTGTTTTTAGATATTTGGACCGGAACATGCTAACTGCAGTAAAGAATAACACATTTACTGATTTGAGGGACTTGTTTAACTTGTAAGTTTTATTTTTAAGAATTCATGATTATATATAATTATTTTTGGAGAATCAATCCAACAAGGTATACTGTACTATGTTTTTAATCAACAATGTTAGAATAATAACAGAGTCTTCTTGATTTTCTTGCTTATATATTTTCCCGAACCTGAATAACGAACAAAATGATACATGTAACTCACTTGATTATTTGAGAAAATGTGACAAGTATACACATGAGCAAGTAAGGATTCAGAGGAATAATTAATTAAATGCAGGATACGTAATTCAGATTACCGAATGTATAATTTGAGGTTATACATATTAAAATTTAATATACCTGTGTTGGCATTGTGAGACTGGTGAGAGTTAGAAACAAATACCTACACTTGACATTCACTCGTCACAATATATTTCAGGTTTCTAAGTGAAAACAGAATAACCACAATTGACGATAATGCATTCAGTGGTTTGACAGATCTAAAGAGACTGTAAGTTCCTTTTTTAAAAATATTTTTGGGGGAAATCAATAGTCCAAACTATAGTTTCCATGCATTCATATTTCAATGACTCTTTGCAATTTATAAAGCGCTTACTGTCCCTATCCAGTGTATGTAACGTGCAAATTTTATGCATTGGCCTTGTAAAGCTAGTAAGAATTATCCACGTGATAATTTATTCTTATCTAATTTTTGTATGTTCAATTTATTTTGTAAAAAAAAATTCCTTTTGGCATCATCTCTTCATTTTTCTTTTTAGATATTTGGACCGGAACAAACTAACTGCAGTAAAGAATAACACATTTACTGGTTTAAGGAACTTGGGTTTCTTGTAAGTTTTATTTCTAAAAGTTCCTAATTATACATTTTTTTTTTGAAAATCAATCCAACAAGGTATAATTTTCTATGTTTCTAATCATCAGTGTTAGAATAGTACCAGGGTCGTCTGGATTTGTTTTACTTAAATGTTTGCCAAAACCTGAATAACGTACAGTATTATATATGGATATCATTTGATTTAATAACAAAAAATATTACTAGTATATACACTTAGCAATCTAAGGATTCAAAGGAATAATTAAGTCAATGAAGGGTACGTACTTCAGATAGATAGTTTGAGGTTATACTTGTTAATATTTAATGTACCTGTGTTGGCATTGTGAGGCTAGTAAAATTCACGCATTTGACATTTAATCTTCACAATATCTTTCAGGATTTTACATTTCAACAGTATATCTTCAATAGAATACAATGCTTTCAAAGACTTGAAAAAAACACTTGGGTCTATGTAAGTTTTTTCTTTAAATATTTTTTTTAATTTCAATTCTCCAAACTATAATGTCCCGAGTTCATTCAATTGATTAAAACATTTTTAAAAAAAACACTAAGTTCGGTATTTAAAATATTTCTGGGATATTAATAGTCAATGACTCTTTGCAGTTTATAAGGCGTTAACTGCCCCTACCCTGAGTATGGCGTATAAATTCAATGTATTGGCATTTTGAAGCTAGTAGGAATAATCCACATCATACTTTACTCGTGTCTTTTTTTTAATGGACTGAAGGAACATTTATTTTGCATAAAAAACTTCCTCTTCACATTAACTTCCATTTTTAAGGGTTCTAGGCAACAACAAGCTAAATATAGTAAAGGACAACATATTTACTGGGTGGACGAGGTTACGGGAATTGTAAGTTCTTTTCTGAGCGTTTCTAGACATATATACTTTTGAATTATAAATCCCCTAAAGTATGATATCCTGTATTTTGATTTTAGAATGATTCTTTTTGTAACATTATCTTTTGATTCTTTTTTAACATTGTCATTTATAACATTATCCCCTGATTCTTTTTTACATTAATGTTTGTCTGAACTTGAGTAATGATCATTAGAATACATGTAACTCACTTGATTTTGCTGAAATATTTGACGAGTATATACTTGAGACAATCTATGGCTTCAAAGGAATAATTAGTTCTGATTGACAGATAATTAAGTTTAAATTGTAAATGTTACATGTAACATACCTAGGTTGGCACTGTGATGCCTGTAAGAGTGTCTTCAAGTGATCAATGCTTTTTGTGATTATACTTTTCTATTTTTTTTAATTCTTAATGTGAGAAATACTAACCCAGTTTATACTCTGAAAATTCCATATATTGTCATTGTGAGGCTAGTTAGCAATACCCAGGTGATACAGACCCTGAAACGTTCTACTTTCCCATTTTTCCGTCCGTTCACTTTTCGTTCAACGTGCGTTCACCGCTCGCTCTCCGTTCACAGTTTTTACATTAACCGTTCATCGTGCGCTTGCGTTAACCGTTCACAAAAACTTCACCGTTCGCTCTTCGTTTCGTTTACTTTGCGTTCACCTTGCGTCCACCGTTCATTTAACTTTCAGTCTTTATTGTCATTCGGAACTCCGAAGTAAAAGGACTTATCTTCTTCTTGGTAGGGATTTACACAGTTTTTTTTTTAAAATATAATAAGTAAGATATCGTATGTCAAGAATTATTATTTCATGGCAAAAAAATATATAAGACACTTACATTTTTAGTATTATAACTTTATAGCTGTTACTTTATTCATGAAATTTCTCTTGAAAATGAATGTTATTATCAGCACATTAGGTACCTACCTGTATGTTGAACGATGCTAAAATATTATATTCAGAATTTGGCAACGTGCGAATACTTCATGCACGGCAACATTTTGTTGTTGTGTAAATTACGACAAATCGGTAATGGATGTTTAATAAACCAAGACTTTTAATTTACAAATAGCAGCAACTATACAAAAAATAATTTTTAACACGTATTTTTGAAAATGCTTGAAAGCATGTTAGAACTAGTTCTGAGAATTATAAGCAGTACTGCAGATATTCAGTTAATTATGTATTTTAGAGCGAACTAAACTGATAAATGTGTTTTTTTTGTTTTTTTTTTAAAAAGACCAATCGTTTAAAATTTTACATATTTGAAAATTTTCTACTTTCTTTACTTATATGAAATCTATTATAAGGGAGGAAAAATTCCTTCCTTCACCGTTACTTAATATATGTTTGTCGTTCGGTATAATTAAGAGCCCTCCCTATTTTTTTCTCCCGAAATATATTCTTCAGTATATTTTGATTAACATTTAATTATTGTAATATAAAATATTCAGTCTTAAAACACACATGAAAACAGTCATTAAACAATAGTATTACAAAATATACACATGTCGACATAGTTATTTTCAATTGGCTGTGAGTATGTGCTTAAAATTCAATTTCAAACTTAATCCTTCCAAGTATATATATTCCCAATATCTTATTATTTTTTCTTCATAAATATTGAAATCCTATCTAGAAATGATGCGAAAAATGATAAAACTTCTTGGAAATATTAAGTGACTCTTTGCTTTCGGCATGTTTGGTCAAGCAAGATTTCCACTCCTCAACTGTCTCGATTGATTTTGATTGACAGAATAAGCAACTGGAACTCTCTCTCTCTCTCTCTCTCTCTCTCTCTCTCTCTCTCTCTCTCTCTCTCTCTGTCATTTCTGTGCTCAATAACAACTATGACAGTACATTACTTATTTAGTTTTTAAAATTTAATCTATTAAAAATATTTTGAATACCTCTTACCATCATTTTGACCGAATATAATCACGACCGGGAAATGTCTACATATGTACAGATACATGTAGAAGTTTGCTAAAATAATCATAAAAAAATAAAAAGGTATATTTATGCATTGCGACAACAGACATTTGTAATTTAAAACAATCCGTTATTTTACCCAGAATCGCTTTGGCAAGGAAATATAGTTGTTACAACCGTGATACAAAGTAATTAATTCATTTCATAAGTAATTTATCTTCTAAAGTTCACATTATTTTGTTAATTAAAAGAATAAGCATATTTACTAAAAAAAGTAGTTTAATTTTATGTTCATAGAACACGCGTTCGGTAACAAATACACATGTTTTACGGCAATAACAATCGTATTACAAAAATATAGATATTAAAAAATCATACGTACATGTACGGGCAGAAAATTTGTTTCATTATTCATTTATTTTTCATTTATTTTTAGCACCTAAAATTAAAATAGAATAGTTTCAATGCAAGGGAAAGATCGGAGTCATTCCGAATAAATCGTTCAACTTGCGTTCACCGTTCACATTGCGCTCGCGTTTGCGCTCTGTTCGCGTTCTGTGTTCACACTACTTTCACACAGAGTTCACCAAGTTGCATTCAGGCTTCGCACATTGTTCCCTCAGCGTTCGCTCTGCGTTCTTTCAACGTTCGTTTAGAGTTCGTTCACTGTTCAGGTGGGAAATTAGAACGTTTCAGGGACTGTAATTAACTCTTACATTTTTAATGAACGTAAGAATATTCATTTTGCATTAAAAAATTGCTCTTGACATTAACTTATTTCATTTCCTTGAAAAAAATCTCTGTTCAATATTAATTGGTCATTGATTATAATTTTCTGAAACAGAAGTAAAATTGTTATTAATATTTAGGGTGACCGATCCATGCACTTGATTTTTGCTCTTCACAATATCTTTCAGGTATTTAGACAACAACATTATAACCGCAATAGAGGATAATGCATTCAGAGATTCGACAAATTTGAAGAACCTGTAAGTTTGCTCATGTTTTGTATTGTGTAATGAAGTTTCATATTGCAAACTGTTCTTTATCCTTCACTTAAAAAAATATTTTTGGAATATCAATCATGCAAACTATAATATCCCAAATATTGATTAATCCATATTAATTGACCAAATAAGAGAGATGTATGTTCGGTTTTTTTAATATTAATTCTCTTAATAATAATATCTCAATTGTTAATATTTATGGAACGTCCTCACTGCCTTATAGAAGAAGACTATGCATTTCAATATTTCAATTTGCCATTACATGATGTGAACATATCTTTATGTTATGTCGATTTGTTATGAGGTGATGTACAAATACCTTAAAATCATGTGAATGATGCATTACATGAAGTTAAGAAAATTCTTCCATTATGTCAGCACTTTATGATTTGAAGTCAGAAGTTCATCATGTGAAGTGAAAATACTATTATATTGTGTTAATCTATTTGTACTTTATAACATGAATTCAATCTTTATTTACATTAATTCATTTCTTTAATATTTGAGGTAAAAAGTACATTACGTCAAGTATTATTTTTACATGTGTTCAATAATTAATCTTATCATTACCCCAAAAGTTAAAAGCATAATAGGAACGTTTCTTTATATTATATCAACATTTTATTACATTATGTTAAAACTCCATTCCTTGATATAGATATATAGTCAGGTTATTGTCAACTCCTTCTTATATTATTTAAAAATATCTTGACTTTGTATTAACTCTTTATCATGTTGGTTTCAAAAATCCATTTCGTGATGTAAAAATACATTTTCATTAATTCTTTATTTTATATTGTTTTATGGACTCTGATATTGAATGTTGTTAGTTATCTTCATGTCCATCATTCTAATTTGTTTTGCTTTTTATAGCATATCTCTATATAATGTGAACAAATATTTATTTTATCAGTACTCATTATGTAATTACGAGCGCTTAGTACCTCTTCAGTTAATTATTCTGTGCTTTGTTAAAAGAAGAGTCTTGTGTCAATCTATTATATAAGGAATGTTGTCGTCTGTGTTTATCAACCATCAACGGGGGAAGAGGAGGGGGTACTGGATCCCGTTTTTTTCTCAGACATAACTTTACTATACCCCCACTTTGTATTGAAGGGTAGAACATGAGAGAATATTTTGGTCACAAAAGATTGGAAGCCAGAATTTCTGCTCATCCACCCATCCCCCAATACACTAGTGCACATGTGTTATACAACTTGTTTACACTTTTTGGGAAAAAGAGGTTTAAAAACTGATAAAAGCGTAGGAAAATATTTTTTGATAATAAGATCTCCGAATAACAGACTTTTATGAAAGAACAATTCAAAATAAACAGAAAGAAATCAATGTATGACACATACTACTGTATATCTGTTGGCCGAAAAGATAAGAATTAACGTCTTTGAATTTCGACGCTAAAATAAATCGTCTATAAAGACTCCATAGGAATATAATCCTATATATTTTTTTATTTGACTTGATTTTTTATTTTCACATTATGTTATCATGAGTTGAAATTTTATATATCTATCTTTACACCACGTAGATTTTTTTTGTCTTAATGTCAAAACACTACTGATTTAAATATCTCCTTTAGATTCCAAAAAACTCTTGTTGTCTCCCCGTCAGTCCCTGTCTCTCCATGACTTCCTCCTATGATACCCTGCTCTCCCTGAACAGTCCCTATCGTTCCCTGTCGTTGTCTTTGCCTACCCTGTCTACTCCTTGTCGTCCCCTGACATTCTCTGATCTCCCTGTCCAGTCCCTGTCGTCCCCTGTCGTTGTCCCTGCCTTTAATAACTTGCCCCTGTCGTCCCCTGACATTTATTTTAGCCAAGAAAAGGAGTTCAAAATATATTTTAGTTGCATTTAAGAGTGAAAAATGATATAGTCTTGAAAACTTTAGCTTATTTTTGAATATATAGACTTAGTAAAAAATTAACACATTTTTAAATGCATTAACTAATGCATAAACTAAATCCCCTGTAATTTAGTTTCTATTACTTGTATCAATTTGATTTTTTTAGTTTGGTAGCATTTCGAGGAAAGAACGGCAGAGAATTGCATCGATTCTAAAGAAGAAATAAATTACCAATTTATTGCGTCTTGTGATGCTAGACGGCATATACATATTGTTTATAAACCTTTTATATATATTTAAAAAAAAACTTTTTCACTTTTTATTTGATCTACTTCGAAACATCTTTGAGCATAATAACTGTCTTTGTAAAAGAACTGGTTTAAACATTCGAGAATACATTATGAAATCTAGGCATGTAACTTTTCTTCTAATGAATAAAATGAATAAAGAATTAATTGAAAGGAATGAAATATAAATGCATTGATAAAATAAATGTCTAAGTAATACATAAAAATTATTTAATAAACTATAAATCTATTTTATTCATTTATTTTCTTATGTAAATAAATCTTCAAGTACAATGAATTAAGAATGAATGAATAAATAGATAAATAAATAAATAATAAGAATTGAATAAATTTATTCATTATTTATTCATTCATTCATTAAACACTCATTTATATCCCCAAAATCTTATTTATAAGTTTTATTTTATTTATTTACTGAAATATGCTACAAAGTATTTTATTAGGATATGAAACGATTTTTTATTATTTTAAGTCGATGATGGATATCAAAATAATCGTCTCATTATGCACAATATTAATTTTTCAATGGGACAATGACAGGGGACGGGAGGGACTGGACAGGGAGATCAGAGAATATCAGGGGACGACAGGGAGTAGACAGGGTAGGCAGGTACAACGACAGGGAGTGGACAGGAAGAGCAGGGACAACGACAGGGTATCATAAGAGAAGATCAGGGAGAGACAGGAAAATGTCAGGGACTGACAGGGGGACAACAGGGGATTTTTTTTTGGAATCTAAGGGGATATTTAATTCAGTAGTGAAAGGATCTGATATAATACAATGGAAGGTTGACGCAGAAACGATTTATTTCATGAATATTCGGGGGACATGAAGATTTCTTCGCCCGTAAAATTTATTTTCCCTCAGGGAGTTTCTTATGTGAATAAAACTATAATCAATATATAAAGTCACATGCATTGAATCAAAAATTTTATGCATGGTAGTATGACCTACCTTTTGCTCACTCGTGTTTAAATTTATATTGAAACAAACTCAAATGACGGACAGAATAGAACAGCATGGTAAAATTCAATTTATTTGGTATGATTTAAAATCAGTTTACAAAACTAATATCACCCCTTCTAATGTTATTGTAATTTAAATTCAAGACACGTGGTTTAGGTTTACCTATTCAAAGGTTATAGGGTAGAACCGGTTTTAGAAACAAACTTGGCAGTAAACAGGAAATTATATATAGTCTGTTTCTTCTAAAAACATTTCCTGTGAAAAATGTGTTTACAGACCTTTCTGAAAGACTTTTATTTTTTTACAGAAATCGGTGGCTAAAAGGGAGGGGGGAATAACAATTAATGCATCTTATCATAGTTTACTGCAAAAAAACAGCTCACTAGCGACCGCTACGCCGCTGGTAAAAAAGTGTAAAATCATCTACAATGACAAACCTTTGCTTGCCTTATATGGCTATTGCCATTAATGGGCACAAAGGGATTGAACAATTGTTGATTGAGTACGTTTACGCCAAAAACATATTTACATGTTACTTCGAACAAGTGGTTCAGGTCAATCTATGATCATGTCAGTGGAGTGCAAGATGAAAAAAGTTTTATGAACAAAATGCAAACATTAGAAACTATATATGAACGCTCGTATGCATTTAACAGCTGTTTAAATGGACAAAACATTTTTTATACAACCATACTCGTGATCACGTGTGTTGGCCAGGGAATCCACCTGACAATTGTATTCACCGATAGTACAATCAAGGAATATATCAAGCATAAAATTCCTATGGTATTCGTAGTAACCCATAATGCATTTCTCATTCAGATGATTGTCAGTTAAAGTCACATTGGTGCCTCTTTGCTAATCTGACGCCAAAAAACATAGGTCAGGTTCTTATGCAAAATATTTGTCAAAAACGAAATTTAAGTGCATGAACAGCAGAAAATTGTATCATAAAGAATACTTATAATTTAAACTTGATTGAATTCAATAGAGATCGATTGAAGTACATTTCTACAGAATGATATTATAGGGTTGTGAAAACTAAAACGCAACATAACTTTTCTCGCGGGTATGTTAAGGAAGCATATAAGTTATTTTTTGGGAAATTTGACTTTTTAAAGAAAATTAAGATTGATAAATTATCAAAACCACTGATAAAGGTAAATTGTTATTAACAATTGCATACAGATAAAAGAGTGTCTTATGCAAAGGTGTGCACCACCGCCACGGCATTACGTGTCTTCTATTTATAGCGAAATTTTCCGTAATAAAAAAGCAGAACAACAATACCATACTATAATAAATATGACAGATACAGCATAACTAAATAAAAACATTTTAGTTTTGTTATTGTATACATGTATCTATTCATTTTCTAGAGTTAAATTACATTTGTAAATACCAATATTATGAAAACTTGTTTTATAAAATTAACGTCATTTGGCCTACTATGACGTCATAATATAACACTGATCTAGTCAAGGTAAAATGTTTTGTATGCTTCCTTATCATCCCTGCGCTGTTTACCGTGTCTCAACGTGCTACTCACTTCCTTGCCACATTTCCGTAACTAATTTACCCTATCTCGCTAAAGTCTCACTAACTCTCGCCAGAGATACTGTCAGAGCTACTCTGAAATCGTCGAGTTTTATACTTTGCAGTACACAGAAAAAAGGTCCCGAACACATGGGTAGGGTTGAATAAAATTTCATTAATTTCACTACGTAGTGGTGTTAATAATAAAAAAAAACTTTTAAAAATTGAATTTTGTTATATTTATTTATTCATTTATTCTTTATTTGTTCATTCAAAAAGCATCAAAGAAAATAAAAGGAAAAGTGGAATGTTTTTTTTTCCTTATTTGTTATTGGAATTATTCTTTAGTTTACGAATGTAAGAAATAACATGTTTTAATGCAGTTACTTTATCTTACATATTATCTTACATATTTGTCTTTCGGGTAAATGTTATAAAGAAACCATTACATAAAATTAAAGGAACAGTAAATAAGCTATACATCAAACATACAGAGGAATTCAATTATTTAGATAAAAAGATCTGTTTTAACCGGTACTTAAGGGAGAACCTATGTCGTTCTACGTCAAAGCAGCGTTATGTGACGTCACAATAGCGACATTTGTTTTCACCTGTTGACTTTTGCAACTGTGATATTGGCATAACGTTGTTAATAATCAATAACGTACACAATTTACAAAAAGAAAATTTATTCATCATTAATAACAGTTTTATTTGAATTATGGAGCTTGTTAATATTAGAATTCTCTTCTTTTGGTTGAAAATTCATAGGAATTTCAGTTGTTAAGAAATACCTCGATGATATGCTGATACATAAGTGCAAAAAGATAAGATAAAATTCAGCAAAGAAAGCGGCATAAATCAGGAAAATATGTTTAATTTCATGTGGACCATTAATTGTATTTTCTGGATAAAACTAAGAAAAAAATTAAGAATGTGCTTTTACCTATATTTGCCTATTGATTTATAGTACATGTAGATTTTATTGCATAAAGTCATTCCTAGGTTCTAATATGTGTTGGTTGTTGATGGGGAAATAGGGGGGGGGGACAGAATGACTGGAATAAAGAAGAAAAGAATTAATCTGTTTAAATTGCTTCTAGTCAAAACAAAATACTCGTTTTTCGCAAAAAAAGTTTTAATGATCAGATGGTTGTCAGCGCTTAGTAACCATTCTTTTAGTGCAGAAAGGTCAATATTTATGACACAAGAGTGTGAAAATAAAAGAAATCGTCATATTTCTCGTTTATTTTATCATAAAGGTATACTTTTTTCTTTGTTACAATAAAGAGATGAATCATTTCTTTCAAAAAATATGAATTACAATATTTTCACACAAAGTCTTTTTAAGATATTACCTGTAATGCATGTCGGAATTGTAAAAAATACGACAAGAAAAACGGGGTGATACTTACATTGTGCTCCATTATAATTTTTCATGCGAGATGAATTACAATGAATTTGCCTTCATCTTAAAGACACAAGTCATATAAATTAAATACCTGTTGATTTTGAATGTGATTTGACATTTTTGGCTTTTTTAGCGCATATTTGGTGTAGAACAATAATGTCTGAAAATAATCTATTTTTAGCATTTCACACTGTTTTTGCACGTGCTCCTGTGTAAAAATAAGCATATAAAGGTATTGTTTTTAATACTTGAAAATTAAGAGCAAGTGTTAAGGAATGAAATGTCAAAGTTTTGAAAATTTCACACAAAGACTTTTCGGACATAGGTCCCCCCTTAATCAAACACTTCTAATGTCCTTCAGAAGGTGTTATTTTATTATCCTTATTAAAGTTTTGGACAAAAAAAACAGGATCATCTTAACACATGCAAGGAATATATATATATATATGTTATGTAACTTTTCACATATATCGATAATGACTATGCATAAGAGCTTTTATATTAGATATTTTTCAAAATAAAATATATAAACCTCTTTCGTTTATATATGCAACTTCTCAAAACACAATATAGGTGGGTTTAATCTGTTTTTTTTATAGGAACTATCATCTATTAGCTTTTATAAACTTAGAGAGCATTCATATATAGAACACTTGAAAAATGGTGTTTTATAATATATATCATCATGTTAATGAGACAAGTTTTACCATATTACGTCTGGGAACTGGGTTGTCTCGCCCTCGGTGCTAAGACATTTCTGCATCGGCTCGTTGTCAAGGAACTGTTTTTGTATCTTATCTGTGTGTTTTTTCGTACAAAAAATGAACTTTCAAGGAATATTAATTTTTATTGAAACAAATCTTGCTTTTGACATTTACTTTACATTTTTTCAGATATCTGCGCGACAACATGATAACTGTATTAAGGAACAGACAATTCACTGGTTTGTCGAACTTGGTCAACTTGTAAGTTTTAGTTTAAAGAATTCCTTACCATTTTTGTTTAAAATTAGTGCAAGATCTTTTAATATTATATACCTATTAGTGTATAAACCCTGAAACATCTGTCTAGCTCTCAGGACTGAGACATCTCTGCTTCGGTCAGTTGTCAAGGGGTTGCATCGCCTTCAGATGTT